TAAAACCAGAGTTTGAATTCTGAGGCTGAGAAACACATCCTTGAATTGCTACACTCATTCTCAGTAGGATATGAAACGCGGTTTAAATTCTTGCACTGGTGTGAGGATTAGCACTAACAGGACATGATTTGCACCCTCCTCCCTGCCTCATGCACATTTCACCCCAAAATCCGTTCCAGGGTGATGGGGGAACCCCAAGAACAGAATGTGAGCTCACATAGGGAGAGAACCTTCTGCTGCACAAGGAGAAATCTGTGTGTTGACATAACATTCGGCTTGTCACTGCATTGAACACAAACTGCTCTGCCTGTTGTTGTTGTTTTGCCCTCTAACAAGCAAAGCCTAATTTCATCCTGCAAAGGAGAGAGAGAGATTGATGGTCAAAGGGTTTGCTGAAATTGTGGAGTGAACTGAAGCCCTTTGTGCCTCAGCCTCCCCTGTTTGCCTCTCATAGGCCCCGCCCCCTTTGCAGAAAAATCTCTTAAAGGGCGGCCCTCTGACAGGCTCCTTTCCTGCATTCCATGACCTCCTGCCTGGCATGCTCCCTGTGCTTCATGACTGGTGAGGTACTAAAGGAGGCACACTTCTTCAGGCCTAGGGGAAGGTGCCTATGAAGGTCTTGGCTCCAGCTCTGCAGCCCTGATACTGCGAAACCAGGTTCGGTGGACTCCTGCCTGCCTGCCTGCCAGCCTCAGGTGCAACATGTTCCAAGCCAAGAACCTAATCTGGCTCCTTAGCCAATGACACCCTGTCTTCCTGTCTATGAAATGAGGATTCATTGACCTATCTACCTGGAACCTGAGAGGTCTGATGCTTTAGAGGAGTAGTAGAATACTTGAAAATGTCATGCAAATATGCTGTAAAGCACAGACATTAAAAGCAGGAGAAATACGGCTGGGTCTACCTCCCAAAACAATGGAAAGATCAATGGACTCTTCAGTGGGGAGCCCTTTTTATCAATCTGTATGAAGTTGTTCTTATTATTAATTAAATTTATATATCCTACCCCTCATCATAAGATCTCAGGGTGGCTCACAGAATAAAATGCAAGATAGACACAAGTTTGAAGGGTATGATGCCTTGAGTGAATATCAGAACACCTGAAAGCTCCATATCATTAGATAGAAAACATTGAAGTTGCTTTCAGAATATAGCTATGTGATTTGGTGTATATGTATGAAAGCTGAAAATGAATGAGCCAATAATGAATGAAAAATGAGGCAAGTGCAATGCAAAGAAAAATGAAATGAATGAAAGATTTAAAAGGAAAGAGACTGAAAACCAAAGTGGATGGATTTCAACTAAGTGATAATGAAAGAAATTGCGGCTTTAAGATGAAAATGAATAGATAAATGAAACAATTTCCACCTTGCACACCCCATCACAGTCCTGAGTCATGATTACAGTGTGAAAATTATTGTGTGTGTGTGGTGGCGATGGAACGGTGAAATCCCCAAACCCATAATCTGAGCCCTTTAAAACAATGACTGGGGGGGCTGTGATATTGCATCTTCTGCTTCCTCTCCTAGTAATTCAGTAATGGAGGGGCAGGGGATGACATTTAAGGAGTGGAAGCCTTCTCATTTCAGACTAAGCTGTGTGGGAAAACCATTTAACGTTTAAGTACTGTATACCAATTAAAAGATGCAATTGGAAGCGTCTTTCCTGATTCTGAGAATGCAGTGGTGAAGAATGACCACAAGATGGCAACCACAGTAAAGCAGAACGCGGGTTTTGCTTATATCCTTCCCTCTTCAAAATGGTTTCAGTGGTTAAAGTTGGGTTTGAACATGAGGTATAAAATGCTGTCCACCAGCCTCCACTCCAATATCACAGTGCTCAAGGGAAATGTTGTACTGCATTTTTATTTATTTATTACATATTTGCTGGGCCACTTGGAAACAAGGGACTCCAGCAGGACTTTTACATTTGAACATAGGCTGTTGTCCTGAAAGTTCACACCAACTTTCCCTTCTTGATATCCAGGGAGATGCCCTGTATTTTGCATTTTTCTCACCCCATGGGGTGGGGTGTCAAGCTGGACAAGCATTTGGCACACCCTATGTAATATTTGTTTGCCATCTCATTTATAACACAATAGCCCCACTGAGTGCTCTGATATTAAATACAATTTAATACGCATGTTCAGGAGAGAAGTAGAACTTCTTTCTGGAACATGTATTAAATTGTGCTTGATAGTAGAATGTCAATGGGTCTATTGTGCACTCAACAAACTCAAATCATTTGCAAAGGGTGTGCCAAGTGGTTGTCTGAAAAACCTGGCCGATTATCTTGGGACGCAGAGCAGAGAGAGAGACACTCTCTCCTTTCCTCCTTTGCTGCTTTATTTATTCTAAACGGCCTGTGTTAAATTTCTTGCACCACTGCTATTGAAATAGTTTTTGGATTCTTGTCGGTTTTTTTTACATGAGGTAAGCAACCCACAGATGGGCTTTGCAGAAAAAGGCAGCCTATCAATAATTTTACAAATAAATCCCACCTTGATTATGATTATGGGCCTAATACCACATGCTAATGCATGTAACTGTGTCCCAAAGTCATTTTTTTAATAAGTAAAAACACACCCAGAGCCTTACAGGATGGAAACAGCTTGGGGATACAATCTGGTCTAAATTCCTCCTTCAGGAATCCTTTGCGTTTTTCTTTTTAAGAGTTCTGGAGCTCTGTTATATGCGTGCAGAATTTCTGTAGAGCACTGGTGGTCTGCTAGCTCCATTCAGGTGGACAAGGTGCTGTACACTTGAGAGGGTCACAGGTGGCACTGTAGTCTAAACCAGTGTTCCCCAACCTTGGGTCTCCAGCTGTTTTTGGACTACAACTCCCATCATCCCTCGCTAGCAAGACCAGTGGTCAAGGATGATGGGAATTGTAGTCCAAAAACAGCTGGAGACCCAAGGTTGGGGAACACTGGTCTAAACCACTGAGCCTCTTGGGCTTGCCAATCGGAAGGTCAGTGGTTCAAATCTGTGTGATGGGATGAGTTCCTATTGCTCTGTCCCAGCTCCTGTTAACCTAGCAGTTTGTAAGCACACCAGTGCAAGTAGATAAATAGGTACCGCTGCGGCGGGAAGGTAAACAGCGTTTCTGTGTGCTCTGGTTTCCGACACAGTGTTCTATTGCACTAGAAGCAGTTTAGTCATGCTGGCCACATGACCTGGAAAGCTATCTGCGGACAAACACCTGCTCCCTCGGCCTGAAGTGAGATGGGCACCGCAACCCCATAGTCGCCTTTGACTGGATTTAACTGTCCAGGGGTCCTTTACCTTTACAGTTGAGATCATCTGTACTGACCCTGCACTCGATTTATTTACAAGAATACCAGCAATTTTCATTTGGTTCACCTGGGAGTGGGGAGAGAGGCTGAGAACCACTAAACGAATATAGGATGCATGGTTATGAGCTAGGCCCTAAGTTGTTCTACTATTGTATTTTTCAACTTACAGCTCATTATGTTACAAGTCATCCTAAATAGCAAGGGCAGGGGGAATATTTTAATCAGCGGTTCTCAAACTTTTATCTCTGTGCTACACTTTCAGAATAAAAACTTGCTCACGCCACACCAATTTTTTTTAATTGATAAGAAATACATTGGAAAACAGAAAGAAACAACTCCTAGCTTTCAACACTTGCCACCAGCTCAGCTCGTCAAGACTCTCCTCAGACCACGCCCCTTTTCTCAGCCAGAAATAAATGTCTGATGTAACGAGGATTAGGGTCTTGGCATCTCGGCAGCAGGAGATCGAAAAAGACACAAGGGGGCAAGACCTGGGACAGCTGGAACGCTCTTGGGCGAGAAAAGGGGACGAGGAAACTCAAACTGGGCTCTAATCCTCACCTGGGAAGTGTCTGCCATCTCAGGACTTCACCACAGGGCTTTACGGTCTGAGGAAGGGCTCAAGCAGGTATGGGGGAATCTCTTCTCTGGACTCAAGGGGTAGTTGGATAGAAGGGAGAGGCTGCTGTGAGGAAACGTCAGAGGAAAAATGTTGGTAATCTGGACAATGTCTTCTAGTGGCTTGCATAATATATATATTATTGAGGATCGGACTATGCAGGCAGGTGTATCTTGCACAGAAAGATCCTTGTAGAGTTGAAACTTGGGACATTCCCCTTCCCCCTTCTCCCTTCTAAAATACAGATTTGGGGCTTTAATAAGCAAGAGATGTTCCAGCAGCTGTTGATGTGGGAAAGCAGCAGAGAGCATGTACATGATGGCAAATCCATCCCTACTGCATGAAAGGGCGTTATACCTGTTTTCTAGTGCCATGTGATGTTTCTCTGATACAACTGGGCACCATCAGTGCGAAAGCTGGTTCCCCAAGGACACAAAGTGGGTAGCAGATAACCCATGCTAGGGAGCATGCTAGATGAGGCATCATTACTGCAAGGTCACTTAGACAGGAGGGCAGAAGAAGGGGAAAGGGAGACGTGGTGGCTGTTCAGTGTATCCATATAGGAAACACTCTTGCAATGGCTAGGCAGCCCAGCTGAATGTCCATAGGGCAAATATTAGCACTTAGCCCCAGAATATGGGTGTTTGCTCAGTCCATAAAGGAAAATGGCTTCTGGCACAGGAAATCATAAGACTATGATCGGGACTTGCTCTAGGAGACCTTGTCCAGCACAAAATTGCAATGGAAGAATGCTGAATGCCCCCACAGAGCAAAAGCATGGAAATGTGCTCTCAGTCCAAGCTGGCAATCTCGTCAGGCCATGCAATACATAGCCCTTGCCTCTGTAACATTAGCTCCGTCGGCTAAGTGATAATTAGCTTTCCAGTTTCTAATGTGCTCTGCAGATGTCACAGTGTCTCTCTCTTTGGACTGTCCTGTGGCAGTAAGTAACATAGGATGGTTAAAAGGCTTCCTATTGTGAGGTAAAGCCATTTAAATTTGGCAAACAATTCTGGTTCTTGAATTACGGGCATAATGTGACTTGCTCCAGCCTGCAGCCAGAGGCTTGGCCTGAAACAGGACAAGAAAGAGGGATGTTATATATGCCAAAGCTTGGAACTAGCAAGGGGGAAGTAAATTCTCTCACCCAGCCAACATTGTCTACGCATTTCTCAGATAAGGGAGGATGTGACCACAAAGTTCAATTTCCGGCTATCATCGTTTATGGATTCCACATCACGTTTTTTGATGCAGGCCACGTTCAAGATTGAAGAACTGGCCAATGTGTCTAAGTGATAGCTGGATGGCAGGTCAATGCAAAATTAGTCTGAACACCTTGCTGGCACTGTGGGCTGCAATCCTATGGTTGCTTACCAGGGAGCTGGCCCTGTAGCATTCAGTAGGACTTTGTTATGTGAACAGACATGTTCAGGATTGCAATTGTTGCTTGATTAATTAAGCAACTCTTCTATTTGGGTTGACTCCAAGGCTCATGAAAGGTAAAGAGTAGGAGGAGATAAATGGAGAAGGACAGTGGAAAAGGAAGGAATATGTGTGTGTTTTCTTACATTTATATCCTGCCAACTTCCCAAAGTCCAGGTTGCTTGTATCAAACTAGTTGCCTCATACCTGGTGCTGCTTGAGAATTCTAAGAAATAAAAAAAAACCTGTGCAGTTTTGAAAGGCTAATTCCACCATCTTGATCAAAATGGCATCCAATTATGTCCATATGTAGACAAAAAAACCTGCTCCTTGATCTCAGCCTCCATCAGGTGAAGTATGGTTATAATACAGTGGTACCCTGGGTTAAGAACTTAATTCGTTCTGGAGGTCTGTTCTTAACCTGAAACTGTTATTAACCTGAAGCACCACTAATGGGGCCTCCCACTGCCGCCGCACAACGCAATTTTTGTTCTCATCCTGAAGCAAAGTTCTTAACCCGAGGTACTATTTCTGGGTTAGCGGAGTCTGTAACCTGAAGCGCCTGTAACCCGAGGTACCACTGTACTGTAAGAGGTGACCAAGTGCATAGAAAATAGACAGATGGAGAAATTTTAAAAAATACATAGTAGATGTGTGAGGCATGTTAACATTTCAGACCTGCTAAATGGATTGAAGGATAAGAGAGCTAATGGTGAAAGGATTTCAGGAAGCAGTAATAAGGAAGTAAGAGCATGATTCTGCAACCCGCAATGATGGCAATTGCATTTCCATCCTGAATTCTGACTCATTGCCTAGTGAATACACATGGCACAAACTCAGTATCCGAGAGGCCAGGTTTGGAGATAATCTACAAGCAATTTTTTTCAGCCATGCCGCAATGACAGGAATGCCACCCCCCACCCTCCAGAGCATATCCGTTTGTGCCAGTGGCATGCTTGCACAATGATGCCAACTGAAGTGGGTGTATAATGGACGATGCCTTAAACAACACAGTCCTAACCTTGCCAATAGTAAGTTGTATTGAATTTTATGGGGCTTATGCCCAGCTAAATGGGCTTAGGGTTGCCACCCCATTGCCCATAAAACCAAGGTTGCTCATGATGTTGGAGACCTGGTGGTTGTGTACATGCGCGGCTTAACCCCTAGCAATATTAGGCCCTTTGAAATCTCAGGGCTAAGTACTTTTGTCCACCTCCAACTCCCATGAGATCATCATGTCAGAAATCCATGCCTGCCTGCCTGCCTGCTTCCATCCTTCACGGACCAAGGATCAGGGTTACATCTCCCAATCCTCCCAGGTCAGTAACTTAAAATAGTTGCTGCTGATATAGGGAAGTCTCTCTAGCGGCACGGAGGAGGAACACACAGCCCTACATGAACTATGTAGTTCAGAGAAGCTGAACTTTGCTCACTGTAATGTGCTCCATTGAAACAGCTGGAGCTCAAGCTTTTTCTTTTTTAAAAAAAATATCCCCAAGGTCATTTGTTTACAACCCAAGGGCATTAAAAACAAGACTCCTTTTCTTGTCTAAGTGAGAATAATTCTGCATAACGATACAGACCAAATGAATATAACCATTAATTGCAGTTTGGTTCTGGAACCGAGAGGTTTCAGAAGAGGACCTTGTATACCGAGCTTATTTTATCAGTCACATTGTTACAAATGTACCCCAACCTGTACCCAAACTGTTAGAGTGACAAGATCTGTTTGGAGATTCAAGTAGGTAGCCATGTTGGTCTGACGCGGTCGGGGGGGGGGGGAATAAAAACAAATAAAAAATTGCCCAGTAGCACCTTATTGACTGACTAAGTTTGTTCTGGTATAAGCTTTTGTGTGCATGCTTATACCCAGAACAAACTTGGTCTCTAAGGTGCTACTGGCCCTTTTTGAAAAAATTACTAATATTTTATGAAGATCTGTTTGGGTCACAAAAGAGATAGCAGAAGGCAGGTTCCTATGCTCCTGACTCAGGTCATTGATCCATCTAGCTCAGTATGTCCACACTGACTGGCCCCGGCTCCCCAGGATTTCAGACAGGGGACATTGCCAACCCTACCTGGAAATGCCAGGGATTGAACCTGGGACCTTCTGCATGCAAAGCAGATGCTCTAAGACTGAGCCATGGCCCTTCTTCATTGGATACCAGAGAAAGGCATGGGGACAAGTCCCCTGCAGACAACTAGGTCCCCACCTCCAAGAGCAAAGTTCAGTTGTTTCTAGGGCTTCATAACTGGATTAAAATTCAAAGTATGGAGAGAGCAAGCCGAATGAATGGGCTGTTTCTAAAAATGGGTGAAATATAATAGAATCAAAAAATCGTAGAATTGGAAGGGACCCCCAAGGGTCATCAAGTCTAACCCCCTCCAATGCAGGAATCACAGCTAAAGCATCCTTGACAGATGACCATCCAAACTCTATTTTAAAACTTCCACCACGTTCCAAGGCAGCCCATTCCACTGTCACAACAGCTTTGAATGGCAGAAAGGTCTTAAAACGTTTCGTCCTCCAAATGACTCGCTGCTCAATTCTGTAACCTAGAAAGCCAGTTTTAGTCTCATCCACTTGCACATTTGTTATTATCGCACAAATATATTTGGCCTCATGCCCAGGACAGTGGCAACATTTCCAGCATTTTCACATTCAGAGGAAAGAGCAAATTTGCAAAGACAAACACCCCAAGTAGGGCCAGTTGTTAGGCAATACTATGTAGAAACAACACACACAAGAGATATGTGTGAAGAGCTTCATTAATGTGTGTCCCCAAAATTTCAGATCCCCCTCTAAATGTTAATGAAGCTTGTGTGGAGACTGATAAACTCTTGCTTTCCTTTGCAGTCGAGAAAATGTTCCCCCTCATGCATTCAGATCACAGCAGAGAGCCGAGGACACGGGTCCAGACCATTATGGGGGAGCTCACAGATGGAGAAGGTAAGCCATCCTCCACTGCCATCATCTTCAGAGGTTGCTGACCTTCACAGGATTCGTGCATTAGCTTGCTTTCACTGGGCTTTTCGTTTACAGCCTCTAGCTCACAAAGGCAAATGCTGTGGTCCCAAGCAGACTTCTCTCTGCCCCTTGCCAGTGGGGTTTTAAGGAGAGGTGGATCCACCACTGCGTTCATAGCCAGCAGCTCATGGTGGTTGTAGCAGCAGGAACAGGACAATAGGGCTGGATCCCTCCATCAGCTCCAGGCTGGCTCCGTGATTGTTTCCGGGTTAGGCCCAATGTCATGCAAAGGGCAATGAGACTGGCTAAGGCTCCAGCAGATCCCAGGCCGGTTCATACTTCTCACCCACCCAAAGAACAAACAGTTTAAGTGCTTTTTTGTCAATAGGGATACCACCAAGAGGCTTCCTTCCTGTCAGCATGTCCAGTTGCCAGGAGGGGGGGTTAGTGCTTGTGTCCTTCCAATGGCAGTGCTCATCTGGAGATGCCTCCACTCCGTCCAACTCCTGCTCCCCTATAGCCTCGCCTAAGTGGGGCTTAGATGGCTCTTCTCATAGCTCAGTAAACAACCTTTCTGAGGTGAAGGACAAAATGGTGCCCCCATTCCATAGACTGAAGCTGACCAGACTTCAATACTGGCAATAGGACAGTGCTATCCATCACGCCTGAGGGGAGCAAGCTGTTGGGGGCAGGTGAGGGGAGTGGGCAGGGCAGGACATGGGGCAGATGCAGATTTGCCCTCCAACACCTCCTTCCCCCTCTCCCCTCCAGCATGAGCTGCCTCACTTCCCTGCCTCACATTAGGGCACCTTTAATTAATTTACAACCAGCGTTTTGTAAATTAAAGCCTTTCATTTCCGCTGCCTCCATGTGACATACACCTGTTTTTCTCAGCTCTGGTGGAGCTCGATTTAGGAAAGAAGGTGAGCATCCCTCAGGATCTGATGATGGAGGAGCTCTCCCTGCCAATCAACAAGGGCTCCAGGCTGTACCAGAAGAGGCAGAGGAGAGTGCAGAACTTTGTGCTGGAGCATCCTTCGGGCTACAGAATTGTGAGTTGTGTTTCCGTCCTGAGGGAAGAGGCAGGAAGCTCTGTGAGAACAACCTGTCAGTCCACAGCAACAGGTGCAGCAAGGGAGGCAGCAGTGCTGACCAAATGGACTCTTGTTTCTCAACCATGGATCCCTGACTGCCTAAGAATGAGAAAGCAAATCCTTCCCAGTTAGGTTGCTGAGATGGGTAGGGGGAATGGCAGGCCTCTTAAATCCTGTTGCTTAGCATCAAGTGTAGTGGGTAAGCTATGTTCCATCTTCATCCACGGCCTCCATGCCATTCTCCCCTCTATTTTCCACCTGTTTATTTTTATTCATTGAAATATCTACACACTACTTTTCTGCCCCACTAGCATTTCCTAAGATAGTCCATGGAACATCAATTAAAAGCAAGGTCAGGGAGCTGGATCCAGCCATCAGCTGTGAGAAGCATTTTCATTTGCCCACACAGTTTGAAATCAAACAGCATCGGCAGAGGAACAGGGCTTTGCAAGCACCCGTACACAGGAAAAGCACTTCACGTGATGTCGTGGCGATATCAGGTGGGCCTGTGCCTCTGCAAGCACTGCCAGCCAGCTGATGGTTTGCTCTGGCCCAGGCACAGTTTTGCAGGCACCACTCATCAGCTGATTGTCAGTGCTTGCAAGGGGCTTTTAGGAGCTGCCAATCAGAGCCTTCATCTGCCTCACCCTGAGATTATATTTGACATTGGGCCTAGCTTGAGGAAAACAGTCTCATGGGCCAAACTGGAACCCCTGCCAGGCTTAATGAGGCCCATGGACCAGAGGTTGTCTACCGCTGATTAAAAGCAACAGCCAATAATAGTGTAAAAACAAGCAAGGACTAAGCATTGGCAGCCAGATCATAAAGCCATAAAAGGAGGGGAGAGAAACCAAACCAAAGAGGAAACAAAACATGTGCCAAAAATGTCAGTAAGATGGGGGCAAACTGGGTTGTGGCAACACAACATGAAGCAAAGTCTCAGTGGATGTGCAGGGTGGGAGAAGGCAATCTTCCAAAAAGCCTTATCCTAAACCGTTTAGGGGGAAAGGCTTTAACAACTAAACACCTAGGAGCTATTAGAGGGTGCCTTGAGAACAGATGCCAAGGCATGTCTGCTCCTACTGATGACAGACAGAACAAGATGTCAAGCCACTTCTGCTCTCAGATCATCCTCTGTCCTTTGAGCTTCACAAGGCATGCAAGATTTGGCATGGTGGTCATGCACTCAGTGCATGGACAAGATCATCTTGCAGGCAGGCAGGCACCTCTGACCCTCTCCTTGGCCAGCAATACCACTCCTGGTCTAAACAATTACTGACTTATCTCTGTTCAGATGCTATTCGATGGGCTAATAAAATGAATTAGTGGGCTGTATGCAACTGCATGCTGCTCACAGCAGTTCCATTGGAATTGATGAAACTTAGATAGTCATGTCTATTGATGTCAGTGGGTTTACTCTGAGTAGGACCAGCATTGGATGCAACCCAGTTGTAAGCTTATTGCACCAGCTGTTGTGCTGTGACATGAATCTTCCAGAAAAAGGGTGCCTGACTTATTTGGGCCAGAGGGCCACAGTCACCCTTGGTCAATCCTCCAAGGATCACATGTCCTGGCGTGTCGTTCTCTCACAGGCACATACGCACGCACACAGCACATACATATAATAGAGGCAGGCAGGTACACAGTTCCCTCCTCACTTTCTCAGTTGTGGATCAACTGAGGAGAGGGGCTTTATTGCTCCCTGCCTGCTCACCAAATGATGGATCTGATGTCCAGGGAGGGGACAATTTACACCCCTGCTAGATCATAGGGTTGTGTATTTCTCTCTCTCCCTTTCACCCCCCTCATTTTGCTGCTGCTGCCACTGCACAAACTAAGTGTTTAAGAGATCAGGCCCCTGAACAGGGACTTATCTACCCCTGCTCGAGGAGTCGGTGCCATGCTTTGCAGTCTCTTTTGCTCAGCAAAAGTCAGTATCAGAGACTTAGAGCTGAATGCATTCACATTGGAAAAAGCCCCCATTTTCTAATTATACAGGCACCGTCAGTTGGGTGGTGAGCCTGTGATCTTCTTCATTTATATAGCTGCTACATTAAGGCCAAATAAATACCTTTGACAGTAAATGTCTTTGATGGCTTTTCTTTAACTCATTCCTAAAGCAATTTAACTGTTAACACCTCTGTCTGTAAGTAGCTGGAGCAAATCTAGTCATCCCAGCATTTAACCGGAGTCTACACATATATTCTCTAGTAGTCTTTTTAAGTTAAATCACCTGGCTCGTGATTATTAATTACTCTTTCATATAGTATGCATTTGACAAACCACTTCTCTCCTCCACCCCCCATCTTCTAAAAATAGGTTCACAACTGAGGCCACCATATTTGCTATGGGAATGGGCATACAATGCAAGGGCAAAATTATGAACCACTGCAGAATAAGCTGCAGGACTGCCAATTCTAACAGGAGGCCATATTTAGCTTTAATCTACTAGTGTCTGCATTCTCTCAGTCTTAGGGCTTATCCATGGCCCTTGCCCATGTCATGTATTAATATTTCTTTCCCTTGCTCTCTTTGCAAGATCTCAAATGTTTCTGGAGGAGGAGGAGGAGGCTCACACGCTGATTATGATGGAGTTGGCATGTCAGAAGGACAGGTAGTCTGCATGACTGCTGCATGGGGAAGATCTCACTTGCTTAGGCTAGAGTTTAGGGTCCATCATGAGACCTGGAGAAGCCAAAAAGTGACACACTGAGGCAGATTCACCCTGAAGCTATGTCATTTGGACTTCTTTCCCATAGTCACCCATTTCCTCGATAGGGAGCAGACTCGCTGACTATTCCAAGTTAATATTTCAGTGGGGGCAGTGTAACTGTCTTCATGCATGCACCCAAATATGTACCTGATCTGCATGTCCTGTCATTCATTTAGCATGTGATGGAAGCTTAGCTCTCAGTGCTTGCTGATCAGGTTTCAACACCTTGCGCAGCTTGAAAAGTGAAATTCGTTGGTACCTTTCTTCTGAGAGAGGGAACCTACACTACAGACCAACTGGTATAATTATCATTGCCTCTTCCCAAGGAATTCTGAGAAATGTAGTTCTGTGAGGGGTAGGATAGGGCTTTCTAACAAGAAGCCTCAGCCCACCAAGAGTCTTTGAGGGAAGCTCTGTACTCTGAAACCAATATAAGGCTTTAATGTGGATATGCTAGTTTCTAACAATCCCATTGTAGAATACATGGCACTTGAGTAGCAGGAGGTGGAAGCACTGGAAAGCATTCAGGCAGTTTTGGACTGTGGTCCATTCACAGAAGCAGCTGGGAGATATGTTCTGTTTGCTTCAAGCAAAATTATTTTCCTCAATGGTGAATAAAAAAAGCTCATCCAACCAGGGGCCTGGCTGGCCTTCTTCCATTCCCCTTTTATCATTCTGCTTCTGTCTGAATTTCCATGCCTACCTCAGTCTTGAAAGCATGCTGAGGAGACCTTTCTGATGACAGAAAACATCTTGCAGCCTATGCCTGTTTCCCTTTGTCTGCTAGTCTATCCATAATGCTGAAGGGAAGGAGAACTACCAGGCTGGACTTCACGAAGCAGCCTCAGGAAAGGCAACACCTCCCAAAGTGCCAAAGAAAACAAACAAAGTCTTGCGGATGAGCAAAGCCCTGAATCCCAATGCCATCGCTCCAGGTATGATCCAGGCACAGCACCACTGGGACCAGAACTCTTATTCAGCACAAAAGCAAGAGTGCAAGTGGGCAGTTTAATGATGATGACAACAACAACAATTTATTATTTATACCCTGCCCATCTGGCTGGGTTTCCCCAGCCACTCTGGACGGCTTCCAACAAAATATTAAAATACACTAGTGCATCAAACATTAAAAGATTCCCTAAGCAGGGCTGCCTTCAGATGTCTTCTAAAAGTCTGGTAGAGCAACTGCTTTGAGGTCCCAGGTTGAATCCCAGAATTTGGAAACAGGCTGGGAAAAAATCCCTGTATGAACCCCTAGAGAGCCTGTGGGGACAATACTGAGCTAGGTGGACCACAGCAGCTTCCTAAATTTCATTAATGCCAATAAATGTCCAAATAATGGTAACAGCAGTCGTTGGAAGGATCCTAGTTGCTGTCAGGTTAAGCCCCACTCCAGTGCTATCTCAAACATTCCCTGGAGCCCTTGACACTGCTATAGTTTTGTTTTGTTTTTAATCTCCCTCAGCATCAGCAGGTGCCATTTGTACCTGACCGTGGGTGGAGTCAAGATTTAGTTCACAACTTCCAGGTTAGTTGTAGTTTCGGGAACTTCACTTCACCAGCAACGTTCCTTGAGACGTCTGACGAGACATCTCAATACCCGTTCCCTCTAAGCAGACTGATGCAGAGGACAGCTGAATCAGAGACAAGCTGGTGTCCTTCATTAAATACAGAAAGGCAGGGGAAGGGAGAGGGAGCTTCTAAGGATGGCAACTGGCCTTTGATGCAGCGACCCTGCTTGTCAAAATGATTGGGGAGGGAGCCAGTGCTGCTTTCTTGTGTGTGTGTGAACTGCACATCTACAAAAAGCAGGACAGGACTTGCCAAGGCAAAGAGAAGCGACCTTCTGCTGAGCCACTACTAGCAGCCCTTCAAGGTTTCAGGCAGAGATTTCTCCTAGTTCTACTTGGAGCCTTCTAGATGCCATGGAGGTCCTCTACTAAGTACAGGAGGGCCATATTGTTGAATACCTCCCAAATCTGGAAACAGCCCTGCTCTTTCACATCTGTTCTAGTTTCTGCTAGGAACAAGACCTCCGAAATCAGATACTTCAGGTTTCTCTGCCATCATACTTAAGATGTTTTCATTGAATGTGACATTCTGAACCACAGGCTATTCTGGACCTCTAAGTGGTGTACCACCAGAGAAGTTCAACAGGACAGCCATCCCCAAAGGCTACCAGTCCCCCTGGCGGGAGTTCCTTAGCAGCGAGGACTACCAGATAGACCATGAGACCCGGTTGCCTGAACCTCCCAGAAAAGTGAATAGTTTTGACGTCAGGAGCTTCAATAGGTAAGCCCTCATTCAATTTCCGTGTGGAATTTTGAGCTGGGATGTTCAGCTTATACTGTAATCAGCATTCACAGCTGATTATACAATGGGGCATCCCCTGCCCCACAACAAACAACCCCTGAAATTAGAGGGTGTGTCAGAAGAACCTGTAGAACTGTACGCAGGGGGAATAGAGGAGTGATTGTCCTGTCTGTCAAGCCAAAATGCTTGCCCTGGTGGAACAATTCCCTTAGCACAAGATTGAATTCCTCCCATTTATTTGGGAATGAGCACTGTTTATGGGATAATATATTTTGTAAGTTTAAAATAATAAAACGAGCACCTGCAGCCATGAACATTCCTGCCTCCCGCTGACTAGAATTAAAAACAAAATAAAGAAAGGGTGCTGTGGTGACTGGAGGCATGTCTGTTCCAGCCAAGGGGCTGATGTAGGATCTGTTTGTTGCTGCCACTCTCTGGGTGGTCATTTGGGAGTGCTACAGGGCCACAGGCTTTGGCCTCAAATTGCATCCCTAGCTGCAGCACTGCTGGCGTCTCAAGATGTTCTTCTGTTAGGCAGGCAACCATTCCAGCACCATGGCTCGCTAGCAGTAGTTCATATAGGACTGTTAAAGTAACAGCAATTGTGTAGAAGACATGCTTGTATGTGCCACTGCTTTGCCATTCATTACCTTGTGGGAAATTCTCACAAGTTAATACTTTCAGTTCATCATGGCTTATGGTATGAAAATGTTGGAAGATGGCCCCAGAAAATCTAGCATATAATCATAAACCAGCTTTTCAGAAAAGTGCATGACACACACCCCCATCCCCATCAACTAGGGATGGGGAACCTGTGGCCCTCCAGATGTTGCTGAACTTCACATCCTGTCAGCCCCAGCCAACATGGCCAACGGTCAGGAATGATAGGAGTTGTAGTCCAGAATCCTCTGGAAGGCTAGATTCCCTCACCTTGCCCTAGGCCAGTGGTGTCCAAACTTTTTCAAAGAGGGCTAGATTTGATGAAATGAAGGGCCGTGAGGGCCGACCAAAGTTGTTGACTTTTTTTAGGTTTTAGGATTGAAGTTGTTGAGGTTTCTTTAGGATTTTACCCCAGGAAATAAACCGCCGCAGTGGCTGGATTAGGCCCCCTGAAATGGACTTTGGACATGCCTGCCCTGGGCAGTGCTTGGTTTGAGGTAGGGCTTTGCTCTGGAGTCTGGTATCACTTCTAGGACTTAGCGGGAGGGCATGAGGGTGGAGCTATTAACACATTTGCATCCTTCTTCTTGCAAGTGTTTTTCCAGAAGTCCCATTCTGCAGGGATACAAAGTACGTACAATCATACCTCGGGGTACAGACACTTCAGGTTGCGTGTTTTCGGGTTAAGGACGTGTCAAAACCCGGAAGTACCGGAACAGGTTACTTCCGGGATTTGGTGCTTGCGCATGCACAGAAGCACTAAACCGTACTTTCGCATGCGCAGAAACGCCGAGTCGCAACCCGCGCGTGCGCAGGCACAGTGTTGCGGGTTGCGAACACTGCGGGTTGCAAACGTGCCTCCCGCACGGATCACATTCGCAACCCCAGTGTCCACTGTATAAAAAATGCTTTAGGACTTGGGGCTTACTGATGATTGGGCTTATGAATTTGTTCCCAACTGCTAGTAACAGAACCTTGAAATTGTAAGTCTCCTACATCATTGTGTCACTGGAACTGGAGGCAGAGGAATCAAGTGAGGATTCTGTTTACACCCCATGCCACTCTCACATGCTTTTAACCAAGAGTTCTGTTCTGTTTCCTTTCTGCACCAGTCCGCAAATTAAAAAATGACAACACTGAAAAGGTTATTTTAATTACGTATCTAAATATATATTTTTTCTCAAAGTCATATGTAAATCTATATTTTGATATGGTTAGATTGCCGAGAACTGTGTTCTGACATTTGGAGAAGTGTGAAATCTGTTGTGGAGCTCAATTTCAATCCGTACATCATTATCTAAAAGGCTATTTCATGTATGAATTAATTAAGACTTAATGCTTCAACCACCCCTAACTCCTGGCACTGAAAGTGTAGCTTCCACGCGTACTTGAACAGTGGCACTTTTCCTTATTAAACTGCACTAGCTGACTGCTGTCTTTCACTTACGGGGATATATATTATAAGAAAAGATTCAAGAGGGCAATGCAGTTAGGTCAAAGGGAAATACTCTGATTTGATAGCAGTTTTAATCCATTCACCTTAATATGGTAGCCACACTGGCAACAGAAATTAAATGAAACCTATCACGTTCATGGCAGAAAATTTTCCACAATACATAAGGCAATAATTTGCAAGTTAGACTTCCCAGTTTTTAACAGTGCAGCCAACTTGATTCTATAAAGCAATCCTAACTCCTAACCAAGGATTCGTTGGACAGGAATGGATTGACGTAGGCTCCCTACCTGCAAGCCAGGACAGAAAAGAGGGGGTATTTGTCTTTATTTTTCTTGTGCTAGCTCCAAGCTGGTACAACAGAGTAGTCGACACTGGGCTCCTCCTCAGCTGCTAGCCCAGGTTATGACCCAGCGGATCTTTGGCTGACTTACTTCACTTCTTCCCAGACCACAATCTGTCCCATTCGGACCCTTTCCCTGGCTACCAGCACCAGAAATACTGCTGCTGTTACCTTGCCAACAGCTCCCCCGATGACCTTGCCCCTGGCATAAACCAGGAAACCTCTGACACATCCAATTCCACCCCCATCTCCAGTAGCACAGCTTAGCAAATGAAAACAGTCACCAACTTTAATCTTAGAGATCCACACGATGCAGTCAAGGTACCACTCGTATTTTTGCCTTCATCAGCTGCCAATTGGCAACTTTCAAAACTTCATCATCTGCAGTGTATGTTGCTAAAGCATAAATTCATAGCCTCTTCACATCTAAATAAAAAAATTCTTGCTGAAACCATGCCCAACTAGTCTTCGTCACTCCCAATGAGGGCTGGCCCACCCCGGAGGCAAGGTGAAGCGACTGCTTAGGGCGGCAGGATCCTCAGGGGCAGCAGATTCGGATGTAGATAATTATTCCTCCTCTGGTTCCTGATGTAGATCTTCACTTACCCCTTCTACCCTGGCAGGGAGGGAGGCACCATTCTGTGGTTTGCCTCAGGTGCCAAAATGTCTTGGGCCAGCCCTGCTCCCATTACTGTCTTGCAACGTCTTTTTTAAAAACAGAATCTTCCTGCGTCTCAATATCTTTAACATATGTTGGACCGGGGAACTGTTCCAAAGACTTACTCTTTTAGTTCTGGTTACTGCTCATGTTTCCGTTTATTTCAGGCCCTGTAGCAGAAATACATTCATATATGCTAAACAGACATAGCTGCCTGGTTTCTTCCCTCTCTCTGTTGTTTTAAATGAACCCTTAGTAGCACTTATTACCAATTGAATCCAGTGCTTACCACGCCTTCATGTGAATGTTTCAATGATTATGACTTGCCACAAAACAATTCAAGAAAACAAATGTTTCAAGGCAAATAGCAACCTGACTGAAAGGCAAGGAACTTTTTTTAAAGAAAATAATCATTTATTGTATGTTTAAAACAAAACCCACTATTGCCATTAGGTGACCAAGAAGACATAGCATCAGCATTTGGTATGCAGGCTTCTCTATTGGCAGGAGCAGCCTACACTCATTTTAATTTCCCACATTACCCTGGAGGAGTGCTACATCAGGAAGTATTATGGGAAATAAAAATGGCTGCCTATTGATAGGTAAATGAAGTGAAGGCTGCAATTGGGATCAGCATAGTGGGCAGTGTTAAAAATTTAATCGAAATTAAGGGAAGGATTTGTTGAAGAGAATTAACTAGAGAATGGAATGCAGTAAGGAGAGGTATGAGGAGGTCGGGAAAGTAATTTTCATGAACATAAGGGAATGAAGTTATACATGTGGGTTTTTTTGCTTTTTTGTATGTATTTTTGAGTTTCTTTTTTGTGTTTTTTGTGATTTTTATGTTTTATAAAATTTGTGAAAATGCTAATAAATATCTTTTTTTAAAAAAAAAAAAAGCATAGTGGGCAGTGCACCATGGGGTACTATGTCAAGGCTGTCTTCAAAGGCAGCCTAGGTGCCATGGTGGATCTTTGAAAAAATATATACGGTATACTGGGGAAAATATTTTCTTCTCTTTAGCATTCCAACTTAGAACCTTTTGAAAATTACTTTCATTTCAGTGCCAACAACACTGAGTTATTTTCTCAGATACACCCAGATTTTCAGTTTTTACTGCCCTGTTGCAAGTGAAAATAAATAAACTGGCTCCAAGTTTTACACAGCTTTTTTGTTTGCATAATACACTTGAATAAATGCTAGTCTTTAACACCTTAAAATTCTAGATAACCCCCCCCCCGCACGCACACACATCTGCCTTCCAGGTGCTGCTTTCAAGATATAATTCCATGTAACATGCTTCTTGCTACACCAAGAACGCACATAGCTACTTTCAAGCGCAATTAGATCAGTGTTTCCCAACCTTTTTTGGGCAAAGGCACACTTGTTTCATGAAAAAAATCTCGAGGCACACCACCATTACAGCCCCGTGACGTCAGCGTGCAGCGTCACGCCGGGAGGGACGCATGAAAGTGTAAGTTTCAATTTTTTCCCCTCCCCCTTGCCTTCCTTCTGTGCCAACCGCCAAAAAGCCAAGAAAAAAGCCAAGACTTTAGGGCAGCAGGTCGACACAGAAGAAGCTCCTACCTAAGGACAGGTGCGACAGCCGTGTCCTCTTCTGCCACACTTGGCAGCCCTGCCTCACGGTCGTGACTCCCACCCTGATTTTTCCCCGCAGGTCGAGCGGCACAGGCAGCCCAATGTGTCCAGCCCAGACACAAGCCCCGCTTCCCCACTCTAGATCCTGAATGCGACCAAGTGCTCTGGACTCCCGAGCAGGGTGGGAAAGAGGACTCGCATCTGGTAGCCTCCGGGCTCCTCGCCTGCTCGAGGGATGGCATTGCAGGCAAGCTGCCGGCCGTCGCCATCGCCGCCCCCTCATGCGAGTGGACCTGCCCGGAGTGGTGGGCCGGGGGAGGCTCGCTCTCTGTGGGGATGTGGCCCGCACGCGCGACCCCGCTTCCTCCTGCCCAGGGCTGAGCTCCTTACCCGCGATCTCGGTCTCGCGCACGCGGATCCCACTTATTCTGAAGCTCGCGCCACTAGCCGGGGCTCTCACACCGTTCCAGGGCGAGGCGGCGCGGCCCACTGATGTCATCGCGGCACGCCGCTGCCCTCGACTTCCCTGTTCCCTCCCCTCCCTCGGGTCGCCGTGGTTACCGAGGACTGCAAGCTGCTCGGGCGAGCGTGGGGCATTAAGTGGGAGAAGGAAAATTAAAATTAAAACTCGCCTGAAGGCCGCCTCTCCGGATACAGTGGTGCCTCGCAAGACGAAATTAATTCGTTCCACAAGTCTCTTCATCTTGCGAGTTTTTCGTCTTGCGATGCACGGTTTCCCATAGGAATGCATTGAAAATCAATTAATGCGTTCCTAGGGAAACCGCCTTCAGACCAGGTCCGGGGACAGTCTGTCCCCCGACCTCTTCTGAAGGCTGGGGGGGGGACAAGGGCTTTTCTTCCCACCCCCAGCATTTTAAAAAACCCCGGGACAGCGGAGGACTTCTCCGCTGTCCGGGGCAATCTTAAAATGCTGGCGGGCGGCATTTTAAAATCGCCCGGGACAGCGGAGGACTTCTCCGCTGTCCGGGGCGATTTAAAAGCCCCTGGGAAGGCAGGCAGGGGGGACAAAGATTTTCGCCCCCCGCCCGCCTTCAGAAGAGGTCCTGGACCTCTTCTGAAGGTGGGCGGGGGCGAAAGTCTTTGCTCCCCCCTGTCTGCCTTCCCGGGAGAGCGGAGAAAGGCAGCGCGTTTCACCGCTGTCCCGGATGGCTTTAGAAGGTCCTTGACCTCTTCTGAAGGCGGGCGGGGGCGAAAGCCTTTGCTCCCCCTGCCTGCCTTCCCGGGAGAGCGGAGAAAGGCAGCGCGTTTCTCCGCTGTCCCGGACGGCTTTTGAAGGCAGGCTTTTGAAAGCCGTCCGGGACAGCGGAGAAACGCAGCGCGCCCTTGCCGCTGCCCCCCGACTTGGCTGGAAGGCTGGCGGGGGGAGAAGCCTGCTCCTCCCCATCGCCAGCCCCGCAAACTCGGGGGACAGCGGGAGAGGCGCAGCGCGCCCTTGCCGCTGCCCCCCGACTTGGCTGGAAGGCTGGCGGGGGGAGAAGCCTGCTCCTCCCCATCGCCAGCCCTGCAAACTCGGGGGACAGCGGGAGAGGCGCAGCGCGCCATCCCGCTGTCTCCCGACATGGTTTGGAGGCTGGCGGAGGGCTTCCTCCTCCCCCAGCCCCGCAAGCTCCCAGAGCGATGCCAAAGCTGCGCGCAACTTCGGCATGGCTCTGGGTCCCGTTCTGGGGAGGGGGAAGCTCGGGCTTCCCCCGCCCCAGCCCCACGCCTGGCGGTGGGGGAATATTTTTTCCCCCTTTATTCCCCCCCCGCCAATTTTTCCCGCGGCACACCAGGCAACGTCTCGCGGCACACTAGTGTGCCGCGGAACACCGGTTGGGAAACACTGAATTAGATTTTCACCATAGGACCAAAGTTCTGCAGAGTAAAAACACTATTACTATTTTGGAAACAGACACTGACCAGCTGTGCAAAGCAGCAGAGAACTGAAGCCATCTGCAGCCCCCCCCCCAAAAAAATACACATTGTAAAATAAATACATGCATACATTTCACAAGTGTGAGGCAACTCAAATATTTATAGGAATTGTGTGTGCACTAGAAGAACATCAAGGGAAAACTCGACTGAAACATGCCAGCGGTGAATTCTGTAGGTGCAAGTAAAAACATCATAAAACATAATTAAAAATCATTTTCTGAGGCCCTTCTTTTGTGTGCTTCCTGCTCAAGAGGTCCGGAAGGTGGCAACATGAGAACAGGCCTTCCCTGCAGTGGCTCCCCATCTGTGGAATGTTCTCCCTAGGGAAGTTTGCCTGGCGCCTTCACTATACACCTTTAGGTAAAGGTAAAGGTACCCCTGCCTGTACGGGCCAGCTGTGTCCGACTCTAGGGTTGTGCGCCCATCTCACTCTAGAGGCCGGGGGCCAGCGCTGTCCGGAGACACTTCCGGGTCACGTGGCCAGCGTGACAAGCTGCATCTGGCGAGCCAGCACCAGCGCAGCACACGGAAACGCTGTTTACCTTCCCGCTAGAAAGCGGTCCCTATTTATCTACTTGCACTTAAGAGTGCTTTCGAACTGCTAGGTGGGCAGGAGCTGGGACCGAAAGACGGGAGCTCACCCCACCACAGGGATTCGAACCGCCGACCATGCGATCGGCAAGCCCTAGGCACTGAGGTTTTACCCACAGCGCCACCCGCGTCCCGTTATGTGCCGGGCAAAAACGTCACTTTTTAACCAGGCCTTTGGTTGATTTGATTGATATCCTATGCCCTTTTAATTTGTGGAGGGTTTTTTGTGGGGGTTATTGAATTGTTGTTTTTATTTTGACAATATATTTTGTAGTTTTATATCTTGATTTTGTTCTGTGAACCGCCCTGAGACTTCCAGGTATAGAGCAGTATATAAATTCAATTAACAACAACAATGTAGCTGAAATTGCTGAGAGAGGACTAGTGCAGCAGATAATGGGAAACATTCATTTTCAACCCACTATTAATAATAGACAATCGCAATGACCACTACAGATTGTCAGGACCCACACTATTCTTCTGAATGTAATTTGCTTTAACTTGTTTTTAATTTCTGAATTTTAAATTGCCGTTAACCCACCCTGGGACCTGCTGGCGAAGGGTGGAGAATAAATTTAATAATACATGACCACGGAGGACCAACACATACCGTAATCTCTTCCCCACTTAAGACTGAATGTGTGCTACACACTACAGCCTTCTCTTTTTGTACCTGCAGGACCCCAACCCCATTTGGCGGACCATTACTGAATGATGTGATCCTTGGCTACGAGATGAATGAAGCCCCGACAGACATGAGCAGCTTGGAACTCATGTTAAACAGGCCCAGCTTCAACAGAGCACCTCGGGGCTGGATACAGGCGATGCCAGAATCTGAAGATCTGTAACTTGCTACAATGCTGCTGCCTGACTTTTTCCAACACCAATGCACGCTAGCCTCCTAATCATGGGGAAAAGAAAGCAAGCACCCTTTTTGAATTCTGTGGTTTTACACACGAAGACGTAACAATCATCTGTTCCTTAGCAGGTCTTAAAATTTGGTAAATACAATCTCAGATGAACAACAACACATGATGTATTACACCAAGTCATGATTTATTTAACAGAAATAAAGCCAAAATGGAAAAGCCATGTGTAAAAAATGAAGTACACCTTGTGATTCAGTAGGTCATAAAGCACCTTTAGCAGCAATAACACGAAGCAATTGTTTTCTGTAGGACTTTATCTCTCTCACATCATTGTGGAGGAATTTTGACCCATTCTTCTTTACAACTTTGCTTCAGTTCATTGAGGATCGCTCTTTCCTCCTTGACATTGTGTTAAAACACACCTGAATGCTCCAGACCAGCAAACTGCTAAAAACTCACCTTTTATAGAGGTGGGCACACATGCTGATGATCAATTAAGCAATGACGTTTGATTAGCAGCCCCTGTCTGCTACTTAGCTGCTTAATTCTTATGGAAGAAGTAAGGGTGGACTTAGCTTTTCGCACATGATTTCTCCATCTTGACTTCATTTCTGTTAAATAAATCATGGCACGATACGTCATGTGTTGTTGTGCATCTGAGGTTGCATTTACCCAATTTTAAGACCAGTTAAGGGACAAATAATTGCTATTTTGTCCTGATATGTAAAACTCCATAATTCAAAGGGGGTGCACTTCGTTTTTCCCGTGACTGTATATACCTGCTAAAAGGGAATCTCTCTAGCATAGAATAGATACCCTACTCACACACAAGGCAAAGTTATGTTTGTTACTATTACATGCGTCTTTCATAAGCTCCTGCCTAGGGCTTTTACTGTACAATTTAACTGTACAAGCATGGCCTGCAGCCCACTTCATATTGGGATTTCTTATGTTTTTGAAAAGATCCTACAGTGAAGTGAGGCCTTCTACCAAGCCCAGAACTGCAAAAGCCAAGATGTCAGGTGGCTGCTTAACTCTCAAAAGGAACCTAGTTTGTTCAGGAAAGTGAACCTATTTCCTTCTGAGAAGCATGAAGCTACATTCAAGTTCAGATGAGTTATATTTCCTTTGGTCTAAAGAGGAAAAACAAATCTGGATGCCAAGTTTGTGTCAAATACCACCCCAAAATTTTCTACGGGGTGCCATCAAAGTAAGATGCTGTAACAATAAAAATCACATTAATATCTAGGTAATAGCAATAAAGATTTGAAAGCTGTTTTCTAACTTTATTTTTCGCTTGTCCTAGAAGCTATTTGCAGATAGTTTTTTGCATTTGAGACAAGACACAACATCTAACTTGAGAACAGGGAGGGATGAGTCATATCTTTAAGGCCCAAGACAAATTAGGTTGCAGGGACACAGTAGCAGTTTGCTATGGAACCTAAATACAACATCACCATGGTGCTAATGAACTAGTGCTGAGAGAGCCAACTCTGCCATCTGATGAGAGGAGCTCTTCCCATTAGCTCTTGCGGAAAGCAACACAAAGTTTTGTTCTCGCTATTTAGCCTCGTTAAATATGTAGCAGGATATGTGAAGTCGAAGAGGCCCATTAATATAAAATATTTAAATTTGAACTTAAGGATTAGAGAAATTAGTGGGAAATGGACTCAAGGAAGGGGGAAAGCAGGGCAGTAAAATCATGCTTGCCATTTCAATGGAAATCGCATGTAAACAGCATTCTAGGATTGCAACTTAAGATCTCCTTACCCACAAACTGGAAATAAAACAGGAAAAAGGGACTGAAATTAAAACAGGAAAAAGGATTGCCACTTAACTGACCTGTTTGTTACTAATACAGTTCCCAAAATGGACCGTGAGTGGGCGCCACTGTTCTGATCACACTGTCCTGGGTTTTCTACTCTGCCTGTATTGTTACAGGCATTTTATAAAGCAGACCTACATATTCCAGATCTTGGAATAGATGAGAACATACCAGCAGTAACAGGAGAGTTTTCATTTAAATACCTACTTTCATTAATTTATAGCTGCTGCTATTATTATTATTATGTTTATTCAGCTTTGTGGAACTCCTGTGTAATTTTTATGGCTATTTTAAATTATTGGTATTTATGTGGCTATTAAACTAGGCAGTTTTTCTTAGATTGTTGTTAGTGACTGAGGGGCTACAACATTTAAAATAAATGTAATATTAAGAACATTAGCTGTCAGAAGGACTCTTTAAAACGGAACTCCTACCAAAGGGGGCACTTCAACAGCTATTCCGAACATCGAGAGAAGACTTTCCATTCCAGCTCCCATAACACAGCATATAGGCAATTTAATAGGTAGAAATATCAGACTATTATTTGTTACAAAATCCTAGTCAGTGAAGGAATAGTTCTAAATTTATGAACTGGAAGTGATGTTTACATTTGGAAATATGTGGGAAAATAAAATGAACTATATTTTAAAATGCTTGTTGCTTGGTTATTTGGTAAAACACTTCAATATTTGAGATTCATCTCTGATGTCATTTTAGAATTTGTTAAAGCCTTCAAATTGCTTCAATAAGGACTTGGGCGCTTTTGATAAACCTGCAGTTTCACACCAGTGGTGGGGCCTAAAAAATCAAAATGCATTTGTGCAAATGTTCATCAGTCCCTTTTATATTCCATTCTTTTAGTAAATGGGGCAAACACTAAGCAATGCCAAATCCATTTCTTTTACACAACTGCCTCTGGAAGCAAATTCCAGATATCACTGAGTGAACCTGCAAAGTGCTGTGTTTTCTTTTTTTAGGGGAAAAAATGCAGACAAGGTAATAAGACTTGGACATAGGTAAAAATATGATTCTCTTTACTAGGACACATGACAGACTTGATGCAGAAAAACAGATGGTACAGGGTAAATACCGAAAACACATATCTAAAAGAGCCATCAGTAATCAAGTGTTGCGTTAGGAAATAAACCAGACTAGTTTCAGTAGCAAATGGACATGAAGGCCACGTAAGTCACAACTCAAAGTCACCAACCCCTTTAACAGAGGTTTAACAAGCATGCAATGCTGCCGCCTCAACATTTTGGTAGCATGCATCACAGACAGAATCATGAATGATGGGAAACAGCATTGAATAGAAAGTGGCACAGCATCCATATGCCCCTCATTATAGTCTATGACCTCCCTGTATCTTCCCATTCCAGCTCAGCGCCAAGAGAAACTTGAATCTAGTTTTAATGGCAACACAGTAATTTGACATTCAAACAGATTACTACTGAAGGGCTTTCCAGGCCATTCTGAACAATGTTGGGTAGTTTCCACTGGGGATTACCAAACTGTCTTAAAGGAAGGTGTCTCGTTTTGTTGCCAAAGACTAGTTTATTTGAAAGTATCCAAAATTGAAAACGCTGATGGGATTTGTAGTTCTACTATAATTAAAATTCCTCTAGGTCATTTTAAAAAAAGCCACTGTTGCCTCAAAATACTTGTATCAAGTTCTTTGGTTATACAAGTGATCTGGTTTTTTGTTTGTGTAACACAGCTGGACTGAACCAGGGCCGTGTGACTATGAAGGAGAGATATTTTGTTTGCTGCACATTGTAACTGAATGTGGTATGCTACCAACGTAAAGTTCCATAAAAAAACAAAGAAGAAGAAGAAAATAAACAATGAGAATGATCTTGCGATGTTAGGGGCTGTTGTGCTTCCCGGCATGGGCACCCATTCTCTGTGGATCTTGAGAAGGATAATGGATAGGACCCGGAGCTCTCATGAAAGGAGGTGGAGGGCCCATCGCATGAAACATGTGTGGCCCAAAACCTGCGGAAAAGAGGACAGACAATCTTTGACACTTGATCAAAGCTTTTATAGGTAAGAGAAAATTCTCTGAATTTGTGACTGGCACCTGACATACTCCTTTAATTAATGTCAGATACCTTGATTTTGTTGTCTTTAACACAATTTCTTTCTTTTTTATTTTATTTGTTGTTTTAATCCATCTTGCTTGGGTAAGCCACATGGCACTCTGTGGGCTGTTTCCTAGCAATCAAGCACAAGACTGGGCTGCAAATCTTCCACAGAAAAATAGTCTGACCCCACAATTACATTTCCCACAATGTTGCTTCACAAGCAATCGCTTCTCTGTTGCTAAATGCCATGATAAAGTTGAGCGGGATGAATAAAGAAGCAAACACGCTCAACTAGCCTTCTCTTTAAGTGAATACCAACAAAAGATGTTCTGGAGGGCCAAGTTTGCCTATACCTGTCCTAGAGATTAACTAAGCAATAGAAAGTAGATCCATAGATGCAAAGACAAGACATTCTGCCACACATTCCCCCAGAAAACAAAGGAAATTACCTGGGGGTGGGGGTGGAGCAATGCCAGGCGGGGGTGGCAGGGCAATGTTCACCACAGCTGGAGGGCCACTGGGAGGTAGGTTGAAGTAGTTTGCAGAGGCTGCCTCCTCTTCTGCTGCTGCAGGAGGAGGAGGAAGAGCTGTGGGGACACAAAAGCCTTGATGTCAACCTTTTTCAGAAGACGAGAGCAACCCAAGTCCATGGAGCACGACTGCTGCCCATTTTCTCAGTGTCTATTATCGTTCGTATAGGTTCAGTAAAGGAATTTCCTTCCCTATCAAAAGCCACCTGACTCTAAATCAAATGCCTCATCTTGCCAAGGCCTATATTATTAGGTTTCAAAAGAATTTAACCACCCAACCTTTAAAGCAGGAAGGAGAAATCTGCAAGGCACTAGATGTTCTTGGACTACAACTCCCATCATCCTTGTCCCATTAGCTGTGCTGGCTGGGGCTGATGGATGCTAGAGCCCAACAACATTTGGAAGACCACAGGTTCCTCATTTCTGCCTTAAAGTATAACTTAACTCCCTTCCGTCCAGGGGTCCTTTACCTTTAGTTTTTACCTCCCTCCCTTCTGATAAACTTCTTCACAGACTCTCTCGTAAGCACTGTTTCCTTCTCTAGTCCTAATTCAGTCAGTCTCTAGCTATGCCAACTTCAAAATGAGACCTCCTTAAGCTCTCAAAATAAAAATGTTTATTGCGCCTCTGTTTTCCAAATAAACAGAACAAGAAAAGCAATTT